ACAAGTACAATTAATAAGATTAATTTTCAAAAAATAAATTATAAGTTTAGAAGATAAAATAAATTAAAGCTTACATATATTAATTCATTTAGTATCAAAGTAAACAATCATTTTGAAAAATTATTAAAAAAAAAAAAAGACCTAGAGAGAGAGCATTTCTCACCCAGCTGAAATCTTGAAGCCATTAATTGTTCCCCCACCCTATCCACCCACGCCGCTACTTTTATTGCCTTCTTTTTTGCCATGATTTTTTTTGGGTGGAAGTGGGAGTAAAATTGAAAGAGAAGGCAGATACGAAAGGGGTTTTTAAGTGTGTTTGATATTCCTATGAAAATATAATAAAACTTTATTTTATAGAGTATATGTATTCAAATTATAAAAATACCAAAATGTCCCTAAAGGCCAAAGAAATCCCCTCCCAATCATAGCCACGATCATCCACAACTATCCTGGAAGAACAGTAAAGATGCCAATATCTCAGCATTTATAATGACGGATCTAAGAAAAATATTTGCATCTCAGAGAAAAAAACAATAATTGGAAAAGAGTATGAACAACCATTGAAGTTGGAGATCTAGATAGGAAAAATCCCAAAAAAAGATTGTTGAATTTCAAAATTCCAAATAAAAGATTATTACGTGTGTTGTTATTTGTTTTTTAAATGTAGTCATTTTCTTTACAAGTGTTTAAGATTTTAAAATTCAACAATTACTTTTTTAGGATTTTTCCATCTGAATATTAACAGTGAGGAGTTAAAAGAAGGAAACCACTATTATTGTTAAACTACTATGATGCAACAAGCATTCAAGTAAAAACATTTTCCTCATCCAAAATTTTAAAAATATTAATATTTTGCATTTAATACAAAATATACCTTCTTTTTCTAGGCTAATATAAATAAATATACCTTCAGAGCAAGACAAAAAATAAATCTACCAAGTGCATGCTAAAAAATACTTGCACTTTGCGATTAGCAATTTAATGAACATTCGGGAAAAATACTCCCAAAGTCAAAAAAGGAAAAAAAAAAGTTAAAAAAAAAAGTTTAGATTGGATATTAACTTTAATCTTAGCATCGTTGGCTGTGTTAAGACTAATATTAATGCTTTTTGCATACTTGGAGAATCCAAGTTGGATTGCAGGTACCAGGAAGAGAAAGAATCAGTAATTCAGTAATCATTATCATCAACATAGAATGTTTGAATTGGGTGTACAGCAAATGTGGCTCTTCCATCTCAATGTGTACTTGGGCAGGGCTCCTCATACGAGTGCAAATTACCTTCCCGAAAGTTGACTTCAACATTCTAGCTCTAATTTCTTTTTTATCATTAAATTATTGAATGAACAAGTAAGAATGTACAGACTCTTAACAACAAATTGTTTATCAATCATAAACTGCCATTAGACCACCAAAAGTCCAAAATTGCCAGATGGAATATTTTCTTGTTCAAGGGACGAAGAGCATAGAGCTCTCTACATCCAAAAGTGTTCCAGTTGCAGCAGACGAGAAATACAGGTTTAATTCTAGCCATTGGGATCCAGATAAATTCTGGAAATTAAACACTTCACGGATCCTGTTTTGGGTATTTGCGAACCACACACATCTAGCTTTTGTAAATCTCTTATTGGTGAGCTAAGGGGTAACACCACAAATAAATAATATAAAAGTCCATTGCTCAATTTGATGTATATATTTACTAGTACTCAGGTAGCGTCACATGATAACATCTGCATGTCTATGTAAGCACAACAAAACGTTCCCTTGCCTAATCACTAACTTTACAACTTTAACCTCATCATAGATCATTTTTAAGTACAAGACAGCATGGGTACTATGTAGCATATGTACAATCCATATTAGAGCGTCCCCATAAAACTGATATAGACTGAAGCACTTCATTGTTCAGCAACCACCATCAGCCGGCTCAATTGTACTAAGAAGGCCATTTCCTCTCAATTGCATGCAATGCTCCTCAGCATCCACTTGAGCACAGATGATTACCACAGACAGTCCATTATGATGTGCCTCTTGCATTATGTTAACAGCATTATCAAGTGTCATTCCAGGTATCACCTTCATCAACACTTGAACAACATATTCTCGCTTGTTAAAGTTGTCGTTGTGCAGCATTACCCGATAAGGTGGGGATGTCTTTCTTGATCTCCTGCAAGACAATACACATCATCGATGTTTTGCCATCTCTTGGCACTTTCAAATTCCTCCTAACAGCAGGCAGCAAAACTAAAATAATTTGCACAAATCCAGAATCATAGCATGCTTTTTGTTCCTTAATATAAAGTAAAAGAAAGAAATCGGTTCTCCAAGAGAGTATTAGAAGAAGAAAAAAATGTATGTTGTCACATTCAACCACAGCAATACAAGAAATTAGGCTAAAATATGCTTCCTGTCAAAAGCATTCAGATGACAATACTTCCACCGTAACTATCACAATATGCCATCTACATCAAACCACGCAAACATATAAGAGAAACAAGGTAACCAGACTAATACTAAACAGTTTACCAGTCTTTAATTAAAAGAAATATGAGATGCAGCGAAGAAAATCGGATTCAAACAACAATATTACGGAGAGCAGTTTTTTTTTTTTTTTTCCTTTTTCCTTTTTTATTTCGGGGGTGGGGTGGGAATTGAAAGAACATAATCAGGTGAGAGAATAATTGGATATAGTTCAATCCTAACGTAGAAAGAATATCCCCGGCATCATTTCTGTAACTGTAACTGCAATTGTTGCCTGCTTGGTTTGATATAGCTGTAATATTGAAGCTGTGGTGAATAACATTTTCTGCAATCAGCCCTCAACGTGTAACTATGCTGTGCAGAATCAAAAGGCCGAATGTGCAATCAAAATGGGTTATTCCAATTGGCAATCAAGTGTCCTTGATTGATGACACGTACAACATGGAATGCATACAGCAGAGGGTTTTCACATCTAACATGCACTATTGATATTGTCGGTCAAGGATTCACCAACAAGCTGGTAGGAGTTTTAGTTATACCTGTAAGACAGTCTATAAACAGAATGTATGAACCAACACCCACGAATTTTTCATCATTCTATAGAGAATATCCAAGCTGCTTCGTTTAAAGTAAATGTTCTAATACACCAGAACAGGTACCATTATAAACAGAATGCATGAACCCAATCACCCAATTATTTTTCACCATTCTATGGAGGATTTCCAAGCTGCTTCGTTTATAATAAAATTCCTAATAAGCCAGAATAAAAGTCCTAATGATTAAAAACTTCCATACTGCGCCTACAAGGCAATTACCGTATATCAAACTCGGATTCCCGACCAGGTGTTGTCTCTATGGTGGGCCTCTCCAACAACCCCCCACCTTTCCCTACTCCCGTGGCTGATGCTGCCATTAGAGTGCTCCGATTTTTGTTATATTTAAAAAGAAAACGTTTACCACCTGCGGTTAGAAATTGGAACAATAGCGGGAATCACTCTAATTATGATGTAGGGGAAAACGAAAGAAGTGAAGAAATGCGATAATTAATCCAGAAAACAGCGTTTCTCATATTCGATGCTCTTTCACCTGAAAACTTTCAATAAATCTAAACAGCTATAGCAGTTTCTTCGCGTGATTACCAATTCTAAAAAAGATTCAAGGTGGATAGAGTATGTACCACGATTTCTAGCATTCAAAAAATGGTTGGGAGATAGGGCAAGTCGACTACACAATGCAGCTTCCATGGCTGCGCTCTCGGTGTCTCTCTGCTTCTCTCTCGCTGTATGTGGCTAACGCTCGAGACAGCTGCTTCTTGAGAGAACGAGCAATTGACGAAGCCAGAATGATTTTCTACGGTCCTCGCTGAATTAGTTTTTGGAGCGTTGATATGGTGACACGTCGTGCACACCAGATCCTGAAATTATAATTCCGCATGTAAACCTTATGTCATAATCAATCCCGCAACAAAAATCTATAGCGTGTATAGATTCTTCACGCTTGTGGCTTTTTTTTTTTAAAAAAAAAATTTATCAAAAGCCTCAAATTAAAAAATTAACCATGCAAGTATATTTTTTTGGCTTCAAGATCAGAACGCAAATATACCAAGAACTCATGTCTTGCAAAGAGTGTAATTCTTTGAAACATGGGAGAATTATTTAGTGGACTTGATAATATTAGAATTTTTCAAATTAGGGAGATACTACTCCAATCTTAAATATAAGACTCTTATACACACTAGTATAAGGGTATTATATTTAGGACTGAAAGAGTAGATATTAGTGATCTAAGATAAAGTTATAAGCCAAATCGAGCGCCAACTTTTTACTTATTATAAGTTTTTTATGCTACTAAGCTATAAAATATCGGGACAATATTAGAAATTGACATGATAATATTGATTTTTTTTTGCCAAGATAATGTTGATATTAGATAAGATATATTTGTGCAAAAATGTAAGTCACTTCACCCAAAAAAAAAAAAGGTAATTCTAACTCCTTTGTCTCAACCTAACATGTATCGAGAGACACTTATTGAAAGCGATCTTCTACGGATTTGTGGTTGCAAAAACAATTGGATTTTCATTTTCATCAATACACACCTATCATATGAAATTGACACTTATTAAAAAAAAAAACGGCTACAAACTTCCTTTAAATCTAAATTAATTAAAATCTTCAGAGTAATTTACAAAAGACTGTAAATGTTAAAAGAAGATATAATAAATCTCTTAAATTAACATAAAGATCCACAATTTTCCTCTAACCGGATCTACTTATAATGTGGGTTAAGATGAATTTTTAAACCCACCCCCCCACCCAAGGGGTTTTTTTTTAAAATAAATCTGCATTGGTTTGCCAGAGTTACCAGAAAGTTCACAGGAAAAGCCCAAAAAGCCATCAACTGTAGCCGAATCAACATACAATTAGGGCCGCAATGCCTAGACCATGGAGAATTGCATTATTTATTTATTTTTCAAAAAGTTACTGCCTATTTATTGGCTGAATGAATATACATGCGCTGGGTAAAATTGTAAATTCACTAGTTTTATTTTAGTGAAAGAGTGTCCGGTACAAGCCAGCCCAACGATGATTAGGCCTATTCGGGAACAGAAAGGCTCATACAGAGAGCAACCAATACAAGCCAAACCAACGATAGTAGACCTATATGGTAACGTTAGGCTCAAACAGCGCAACCCAAAGAAAAAATATACAAGGAGGAGGAGAAATAAAATATGTACATCACGTGAGGCAAGTGCCCCCATTGATCGAAGCCAGAGTGGCCGCATAGTTTACGGCTTGAACAGAGTGCAGAACCGGGCGATCTTCTATCTTCAAATTCTTAATCTTCTGAGTAACAACGTTATAAGACTTAATCTCCCCACCACACGTTTCCAAAAGAAGTTCATCTCCCTTCCAGAAAACCAAAGGTTTAGGTTCTTCTAATAGAAGACTTGTCACACTCTGCATCTTGGTCCATGAATCCTGAGCACCAGATCCTTTCATCACCCATATGTCAATCGACATGTTCAGGCCAAAACCAGAACAGCAAATCAAAGAGAGTGATTCCTTCCACTCAGCTAAAGATCTACCCTCAGGTTTGCTGATATCCACGTTATCTGGCGCAGACACTTTGTGGAAAATCTCGTCCCCAGTTCTGAGTGCTAGGATAATTGTCGACTTGTCTCCGCGTCTGAAACCCCACCAGTAATACGTTCCTTTGAAGAACAAGGCGAAACAATCATCAGCAAAATCAAAATCCCTAGTGTTGCTATTGTACATTCTTGTCCATGAATCAGTGCTCAGAGAATACACCTCCATACGATTCGTGGTGTACACACCAGTATCCACAGACCAAATCCTCACAACCTTGTAATCATCGGTTATAGAATTATATCCCAATCCAACAGCTAAAGCAAACGAGGATTTGGACAGCATGTTTGAATCAGGAAGGCATTTGAATTCCCTGGTCGCTGGGTTATACAAAATAACCTCATTACTGTGAGACCAATAACCTCCTGACAAGCAGAGTATCCCGTTACAGTGACCCGAAATTCTGAATTTCGTGGAAAGAAGTTTGACTCTGGGCAAGAAGGTATCATCAATAGAAGAATCGTTGTTAGAGAGGGAAAAGAGTTTGTAGTTTTGCATGTAGAAGCCATAGGAAGTAGTGGGGAAAGAGAGCCTGAGGAACACACTATCATTGAAGGCGTGGTGTTTGATGAAATGAGAGAGGTGAAGGGCTCGGAAGATGGGATCGGTGAAGAGAGTGTACCAGAACTTGCAGACACACTTGAATCGCGATAAGGATTTGTAAGGAAGCCTTGAGAGTATATCCTCTAATAGTTCCTGAGGCAGATTTGAATTTGATTCACTCACCATTTACTACTGCTTCTTTCTTCTCTGGTCTTCCTTCTTCTCTTTGTCTGGTGGTCTTCAGGCGATAGGCAAGGAATGGCTATTCTTTCCGGTTCATAATGCTATCATTTTTAGCCATATTTATTATTTAGGCCCCACAAGAAAACCATATTTATGATTTTTCTTAGGTGAGAAGAACAAGTTGGTTATGATTTTTTTTTTTTATATTATTTTTATTGATTTATAAACATATTGAAAATAGTAACTAGATGGAGCCTGGCTGCCAAGGATATCAAAACAACATATTTGTAAGAACAAATTCGATTTCGCCTTATAGCTTGCTATTCCATTCTTGTGTGTAATGGAATTGCCCTCAAGTCTGTGACCCCCGGATGGCGTTAATTTAGCTTGAGGGTAAATTTCTTCAATTACTATTTAATAAACAGTGCATTTTTTTTTTTTACTTCGTACTCGATAATGCATGAAAAAATATATGTTTAATTTCTTGTAAATTTTAAAATTTATATTAATACCAGATTATATTATTTTTGATTAATTGATTGATTATATTATTAACAGATGAGTTTGTGATGCAAGCAGAATATCAAGGCTCTGTTTGACATGAGGTTAAAAATAACTTACAAACTCATTTTATACAGGGGTGTTCAACTTATCCCATCCCGATCTTGGTCAGTTCGTGATAAAACAGGATAGGACACGAGACGGGGTCATCCCGTCCTGTCTCGGAGTATTTTTTGTAAAAATTATTTATTAATAATAATTATTATATTATTTAATTCACTTATTAATAATAATTATTTTTATAGTGATTTTCAGTTCTTAAATTGTAATATTATCTCAAGGAAATCTCTTTCCTCAAAAAAATAATTCATAAAGTCATCGTGTAATGTTTCTTTTATGTTTTTTTTACAGTATTGTTTTTACACTTTTTTATACTATATAATTGAGTTTTTTACATAATATTTTTATCTTTAAAAGCCAATAAAAATAAACATTATAACATAAAAAAATTCATACAAAAAATAATAGTTTTTTTTTTTAAGAAAAGGTAAACGGGGCGTCCTATTTCTGTCTTGGTCTTAGTCTTGACGGGACCAGAACAGAACCGGGACTGGATGGGATAGGAGACGAAAATCCTGTCCCATTCCTGTGTCTTGTCCCGTGAACAACCCTAGTTTTATATAAATTGAGATAAAATTTTTTTCATATACTTATCTCGTATTCTATAAATCGTGATTGAAGAAATACTTGTAAATTATTCCAAACACACTATTAGTAAAAAACAAATCCAAGTGAAAACATATCCAACTTCTTTTGTTTTTTTGTTCAGGTAAAAAAAGCATTTCGTTCTTTTACGTCATTTGTCCTTCTAATTTTTAAATTAGTGTCCGCAAGAATTAACAAAACCGTTACTCTGACAAGTCGCTATTAGCTCGCTGTTGCCACAGGTTCAGTGGGCGGCTGAAGAAGCACGAGGGTTGCATGAATTTCTATTTAGTTTATTTTTTAAATGAAGTTTTATCTCAAATATTACTATCATCTCTTATCATAAATATAAAAACTAATTGAATAATTTAAGTAGATTAAGAAAATAAGTTAGATTAGTTATTTGTAATAAATATGTATTGTAGTTTCTAAAATATTCGTATTAATCAAATTTATTGGTTAAAACTATCGTTATTAGAAAAATTATCTTAATAAATAAATAAATATAAGAGACAAAGTTAATTAGAATTTTATATTTAGGACCATAATAAAAATCAAATGATGTTTTATATTAAGGACCAATAGTCAGATACAGTATTGTATATATGGAATAAATAATTCATAAGAAAAGGAATAAATGAGTATCCCCAAAGTGTAATAATTTTAGAGAAAGATCTCGATAAAAAAATTGCCAATAATTAAAGTTATCATTCATAAATTTTAAAATTATTATCCATCTTCTGTAAAATTATAAACCCAAATTTTTTTATCATCCTCGATTGTTATTGAATCATAAGATCATTCTATTTTATACCTCACAAAATCATTTATTAAATATTTTGTTGATTACATTTATTAAATATTTTTATTCATATTATGTCAGACATTTTTTAAGAAAAAAAAATTTCCCCGTGGACGAATTACTGAAAATAGGCCATAATATGTATATTATTAAGTTAAAAGTAACTATCCTATTAATTTTTTTCCCCAAACTATGCTATTAATTAATGATCCAAAGGAGGCATAATTAGTTTCTAACATTTTTATATGGGAAAAGGGTAATGAATAATTTGTATTAAAAAAAAGGGTAATGAACAATAGTTATCCGCAAGCCAAGTGTCTCATAGTATATGTAAAACGTGTGTCCGTATGCTTTCTGTGTTCTTCGCAAAACTGTTTTTTGAATTTGTATTCAGATACTCGTATACGCAAGTGAATTGACGATTAATGATAGGCCACTGGGCTAAGTATGATATAATTAATCAAGTAAATTAATAAAGGAAACCTATCGTCATTGGCTTTTTCCCTTTTAAAAAAGAAGAAAGAACGGGGCAAATCCTCTTGCCACCAAAACAGTATAACGTTGCGGCAAACGTACGTGGTTTCCATTTCGTTGGATTTGATTTCGAGTTTCGACTCTTTTTCACTCCGCTTTCAGTTTTATTTATAAACTTCGAATTATTCACGGATCATTCAAATACCACTTACGCTCTTTCATATAAAAACTAATTTAATTTTTAATTTGATCTTAGATATAACCCTAATCTATTTTGTTTTCAATATTTAATATTCCTGATTCTAATTATAAAATCTCATTTATAGATTATAAATAAGGTCTTATAATTAAGATCGGAAGTAATATTTATTTGTCCTCAAGTAATACTTATAATTGTTGCATATATTAAGGAGTTACTACTAATTTATAATTCAAACACAAATGATTGATAAGAATATTTTACAAAACACAGTATCTATTTATTACAAATAACTAACTTAACTAATTTTTTTAATCTTCTTAAGTTAATCAACTCAATCTTATATTAAAAAATGAAAGCGGTATTATTTAGGAAAGAGTACATGCAAAAATTACAATATACTCCTCCGATCCTAAATATAAGACTCTTATAACCTTTATACTAGTGTGTATAAAAATCTTATATTTAGAACCGGATGAGTAAATAAATATCTCTAAATATCATCAATAGCAAATTCTAACAATACTCCTTCCATTCTTCTTCATAAGAAACAACTGTTATCAATATCTTATCCATATTTATAAGAAAATATGTTTTTCAAATTATCATTCATTTATTTATTTTATTCTCTTCCCCTTAGATAAGGATACTTTTTAAAAAAATTTATAGTTCTTATATATTTATTATCTTTAATTATTTTAACTAATTTTTTATTTATGAAACGAGTACCCTTCTCGGCAGACAGATTGGGGTAAAAAAAAGAAGAGGGGGAATTTCAAAAGAGCAAAAAAGAATTACAATTAAGTCTTATAAAAAAAGAAATAATTATCAAAAAGTCCTAATAACAATCTCAACAACCTATAATAACAAGTTTTATAGTAAAAATGACAACCTCTTAGACTTGTTTTTCAATTATTTTTCTTAGTTAGGATTTCATTATAATTCTCTCAAAGAGAAAATGACACTAGGAGAGAATGTACAACCCACTTTTGACTTTTGACCCAGCAGCGTTCAATCAAGATCAAGACCACTACTCGGTTACTGCTGCCCGCTCGCCTTGCTGATGACCTCCCTCCGGTGCTCATCCAATCTTGCCAAACTAGAGAAAATAAAATAACCAATATAATGCTCTGATCATATATATTTATAAGAAAATTTTAACATATTTTATAAAGATAAATTTTTTTTAAAATACATTAATTTCATCTTAAAATATAATGATTTTTTTAATTTTACTTTTATTTAATACACACACTTTCAAAAAAAATAACAATATGTATTATAAAAAATGGAAGACAAAATAATGTATGCAGACTAAAAGCTTAATAATGTGACTTATAAACAAGATAAAGGAAAAACAAAATCTTCTTTCTCAGCTTTATAAATAAATCAACAGAATTTGACTTCAAGTTACAACACCCCTTCACTCCACATTCATATTTATTTATAACCTTTAAATGACTCAAGAAGCGTCGAAATATTACGAAGGAAAACGCACTCGCAAAAATTACATTACAATATATATGTATATCTATATTTTATAATAGATAAATTTGGACTGTTAAGAAATTATGAATAATAACAATGATATCGCTTATTTTAGACTATGCGAAAAAGGCATGAAATCCATATTTTTGTTGTAATATCCAAAACATGCAAGTTATTTAAAACAAAAAATAATAATTTTACTTTAATAGAACAAAATACATTCACCTAATTTCTTTTTCTTGATGCAATCGGCTAAAGTTGGAACTCTTTCATTTCTTTTTCTCCTTTTATCATTTCTTACCATTAAATTTTGTAAAGGAAGGGAAGAGAGACAGAAAACACAAGCAACCCTATGCGGAGGCGGACAGGATTTCGTCAGTTTTCTAAATGCTTAACATCTTGATTTTGTCTATTCGAAAGATCTAAGTCTTTGCAAAACGGAATTATTTGAGAGTAGGTATATCTCCCAAAAATTGCAAAACCAAAAACATTATGAATTTCTCACAAAACATTCTAGATAATGCATCTCTAGGCCATAGCACAAAATACTTACAATTGGAAAAAATTTTAATATAATTTAAGCAAAGACTAAAAAGAATAGGAATTGAAAAGAATAGATGTGGTAGTAGCTTATTAGAAATTACTTAAGTGCAAAGCAATATTATGAAAAGCTAACCGACTGTGGAGTAAATTAAGATACTGCATTACAGTTCAATGATCAGACCACCTTTTTTTTAACCATCGAGCCCATGGTTAAACCATAATTGTAAATAATATATACTTAAAATAAAAAGAAATAATCATCCATAGTAATAAAATAAATATTTAAATCCATAAAAATAATATAGAGTAAGAAAAGGGTAATATCCATCAATACTTCATTTTCCTGATCCAAAATGTCCATATATTTGTTTCATGATATATAATTTATAATTTTAGAATATATACATGCAAAATATATATACACATCTTTCCTATAGATCTGTTCATTTTTTTCCTTCCCGATGAATATCATGATATAAATAAATTTTAACCTAGAAAAATGAATAAATATGTGACCAATTTTGACTAGCTTAAGGCTGTTTTGATTGGTTCTCTAGCTCGCTAGTTTTCTTTCATTTTCAGACCGGCACCGGACCGATCTGGGTTCAATTGGTTGTATCGGTCTGTTCCAATTGTTCAAACAATGTTTAAAAATATGTTTATTGAGATTTGAGACTAAGTTAAAATAAACAATGTTTAAAAATATGTTTATTGAGATTTGAGACTAAGTTAAAATATTAAAAATTGTAAGATTTTCCGATCCAAACAAGAGAGTAAATCAAGGGGTTCAAAGTTATAGTTATAGTGGGACAAAACATAAAATTTACAGTAATATCTTTGTTGCTAGCAATGCATCTCCGCCTTTACGGGATCCAAAATTGATGTATGTCTCAACCGCATTCATAAACTCTAGTTAACTAAAATGATACTCTCCAAACTTTTAATATAAGACATAATTAACTAACTAAAATAAATTAAGAATGCTAATTAAATTAATTAATATAATTTTTTTCTAAAACATCTTAAACATTTTTTTTAATTCCCTCACTTTCTCTCTTACTTTATTATTGTTGAAAAAATATCAATAGAATTAATTCAAAAAAAAATTAATAAACATATATGTTTTACATATATGAACAAGATCAACTTTCCAATTACGTATTACATTAAAGACCGGATGCGTAATTCTAAGACCGTTTGCATTTATTTTTTATGGTTTAAAGTTTTTATGATTTTAAATAATACTACTTCCAATCCTTAATATAAGAGCTAGTTGACTAATTTGAATAGATTAAGAAAATTAGTTAAGTTAGTTATTTGTGATAAATAGATGTTGTCTTTCCAAAATACCCTTGCTAATCATCTATATTAACTAGAATTATCATTTAATAAAACATTTAATATTTGTAACTACTATAATGACTACTTTGAAAAAAAATTGAATAAATATGAAAGATAAGATGAATGAGGTTCTTATATTTAGGACCAAATTAGATGTCAAATTAGTTCTAATATTAAGAACCAGAAATAGTATATGTATACTTTTATTTTTCAATACTTATCTTAATCATTAAATTTATATTTTTAAAATAAAAATTATTAAAAAAATTAAAAAATTAAAATAACAACAAATCTAAACAGTCCAGTTAATCTAGATTAGATGCTTATAATTTGGCGTGAAAATCTGAACTCAATGCTAATTGTAAAATAGCCATTAGATGCTTATAATTTACCCTCGACCTTGTTTAAGGGTTTGATGGGAAAGTTAGATGTCCTTACCTGAATTTTCTCAAAGGAAGTGTTGCCAACCAAACCGCGGATAGCAAGGAGAATAGTACCTGCAGGAGTAACAGAAAGTGCAAAAATAGGTTACATCCCCATACCTAGTCAGGCAAATTTTCAGTTGCTTGAACTCTGAAATTATGTTTGGCCAAAAAAAATCTAAAATTATGAAGAATGCAACCTGAAACCATTGACCATACCTTTCATGTGTATAATCTAAAATTATGAAGGATGCAAGCAAAAACCATCAAATATACCTTTCATGTGTATGATCTTCTCGTAGATTCCTTGGAGGTTAAAGTGCTATGACGTATATATGCCAGAGAGATCAGGACCAGCACAATCACCAGAAGTAACCTTGTTATTTTTTATTTGGGACAAGAGTGCTTGAGAAATGAGTACCTAAAGTAGAAGAACAGAACATCTTAAAGCTTTAGAACATGCATAATATGAAAGTACGCAACAATCATTATAAAGTACAAACATATGCCAGAGCGATCAGGACCAACAGAATCACCAGAAGTAACCTTGTTATTTTTAATTGGGGACAAGAGTGCTTGAGAAATGAATACCTAAAGTAAAAGAGCAGCACATCTTGAACGCTTTAGAATATGCATATATTATGAAAGTACACAAAAATCATAATAAAGCACAAATAAATCGAATAGAAGAATCTTCAGTCAATGACTACTTCATAACAAGAATCAGTGGAATTGTTGGCATAAAGAAATTAGTGGGGAACATCTTGATCCCGTAAGTTCAAACAACAATTCAGGTCGAGGAAAGCAATAATTTGATTCAGTTGAGCAAAAAGCAACGTCCCAAGTACACAGAAAGAAGCACACAAGAAACAGTATCATGCAAGAATGACTGCATCATATGAACTTTCTAGAAATAGATGAAAGCATAAATTATTTTAAGAACATCTACCTTCCTCTCAAAAATCATACCATTTTATAAGTTTTCTCAAGCTCAAGCCAGCCAAGCTTTCTTATCGTGGGCCACCATTTCCTAAAGGCACACTAAAAGAGGAACATGAAGGTGTTTTATATCCTCCTACAGCTTCGGGGAACCACTTAGCACAAGACTCCATGCTCTATGGACTATGATCTCTGTCCAAAATAAAAGGATATCAAATCTCCACTGTAACTTTTACACACCATATTTGTGTGAATTGATTTTGGAGAAGTGTTGTACAAAATATGAGCTCTGCCAGAAAAATGTGCGTTTAAAAGACCCCTGATAAATATTGGGGATAAGCTGTTATGATTAGTTATTTAGTTGTAACGGCTAGACTCCTAAAGACACTTGCCAACAAGTATCCATGGCCCATACCTGTTAATAATCAAGATCTCTCACGTACTCACATACTCTCTGCATCATTCTGTTATGGTCTATGGTTCTATTAATAAATTTGTCTGGAAGATCAAAATTCCGGAAATCCTGTTGATACAGGGCAAAGAGTCAGTAGAAAGGGGTATTATTAAGACAAGAGCTCTTCAACATAGGGCGACACTGAACAAAAAAATAAAGGATATAGTATTAAGTTTGAAAAAGCTTTTGACTGTGCATCAGCGTCTTTACTAAACGTACCCACCCCCATAAAAAATACAGTGGAACAATAATTGTTGCCCGATCCAATCAAAGCATCCCGACCTCATCTGTATTATAATAAAATGCAAGAAAGAAACCAACCAAAATTCCAATGAGCAAACACCACAACTGTTGTCATAATTATCCGTAATGCATTTTATAATTGCAAGGCTTCATATATCATATTATCAAAATAATAAGCAAGAGCAGAAATTTTAACTAACATTACCAAACGAGTTTTCCTTCCCAGTTTCCAGATCTCTGAAGCTAGCATCCAGAAAATGAAACTGCAAGACTCGCATTAATAAGTTGGTAATCACTAGATTAACAAAGTTTAGAACCTTTCAATTTTCCACAATAAAAAGTTTCGGTAAGTTTACTCGATCCTGCAGTCATTAAAACAAAAGTTCAACAACTAATGGATTTAACAATTCAGAGAACCATTTCCTTATCTGAAGTTGCACATGTTGTCATGCTCATAGACACGTGGGAGGGTCAACCTACTTAGTTTTTCAAATTATTTAAACTTAAGTAAAGGAAATACTTGACCATGCATACTTAAAAGACACTCTCTAAGATAACGTATAATAATGAAATTCCAAATGAAGTATACCCAAAAGTCCCTCCCTCTCTCTCTTCTCTTCTTTGCAAACTAATGATTCAATCTTGAAACTTACTACATTGCCGAAAGATTGTCCTTCAAAACAGTTAGGATTCATCTCATGCGGTATTCACACGTGACACCAACCAGCTTCTGAGTAAAACAAAGACTAAGTAACCATACATAGAGTGACTTATATAATTGTCACTAGCAATGATTCAGAACATTGATTAAATTAAATTTCTTGGGTAGATTAAATTTCAATAAAAATTCCTTTTTCTGTGTCCAGTACTTACCATTAGATAGCAACACAGTATCAAAAGACTATTGAGTGAGATTCTTACCCTTAGTTTCTTGGAGGAAGGGACAATTTCTTTAACTAGTTTTTGACATTTTGCATGAGAAAACTTGAAGATACCAATCTCAGTTATACCCTACATTAGATGCATAACACCTTGCTTACATTAGCATTCCCTCCCGAACTGATTTCTATCAAGAGCAGCATCAACCTATAAATAGGATTCATGGGAAACATTTTCAAGAAAACATTACCACAGAAGAATAAGTTAAAAAAAAGAAGTTAAAGGTGCCTTTCCTGAAATGAATTATATGATACCTGAAAAAAAAAATTGTAAAGGATGATAAAAGATAAAGTGTCCGACGCTTAACCACAACAATAAAACAATCTTTATAAATGCATCTACCTATACAAAAACGATAAGGTATATTAGAACAAAACTTTTTTGCATCTTCATGCATATAGCAAACTCAGTCTTTCAACAATGAACAATTGTTATATTAAGTGGAAGAGAAATGTTACTCCTTAATGAGGTTTTTAGAGTTCAAGTTGAAAGGAAAAACCATATTAAGAAAGCCATACCTTCTTAGGAATAAACAATACTCGAATATCAATTGGTCAGAAGTACTTGAAACTAATAGTTGTAACACTTGATGTTCAAAACCTCAAAATAAATCCCAATCCTTACAATAAAATGATTGAGCTTTAATGATGCTAGTTCCTTGCATCCAAAATGATAAAAAAAAAAAAAAACATCCATTTGAGTTCTTACTTGGTAGCACTTACCTCAGCACATCACAAGGAAAATAAACAAGGAAAAAAAAAAGGGAACAAGCTGTCAATCAAAAATAAATTAAGATGGAAACCCTTATCCCATATTCATGGACTTTATCTACCTCCAACTTTATAACCTCCCAAGTTAGGTGGAGAAAACTCAAGCATTGGCATCGGGTGGTTAAAATACTTCAGCATTGTGAACCCAGGGCAACAAAACATGAAAAGTCAGACAAAAGGAAAAGATAATGTGCTCTAAAGGTGAACTTGCCCCGCCAATAGCCACCATTTCTGTATAGGTAATGAAGCACTCTGTAAACAAGGGAGGTAGAGTTTTGTGAGAAATTACAGCAAAGAAACTCTCACATCTCAATATCCCATTAGCAATTTAAGAATTACCCAAGGATTACAACCAGAAGGATTACTCCCCACACGGTCATGACTGCTCCTTTGTTTAAGTAGGATTAATCAGTTCATAGCCTACTTGAATGGTCATTACCCAAGAAGCCTTAACCTCCACCTATCATAGAGTGCTCATAACCTTAACGGACATTGGGTTCTAAGAGAAGATAGATCACCCAACATGCACCACCTTTCCATTTGCCTTCAATTTCACAATCAGTTATTCCTAATTCACTTTCACCTCCTTAAAAATTTAATCCACTCAATGCCAGGAAATACAATGTTCCTTCCCTAATACGATTAATTTGAAGCTCCAATTATTATCCAACCATATGATAAGATAAAAGCAATTGGAACTTTTCATGATGTTTGTTTGTTGCATTAGATCCTTCATACTTGGCAATGCCAACCACACCACGTCACAAAGAGAAATCATAAAAGGTACATGCTGTCAATAAAAAATAAGATAAGATGGAATCCCTTACCCCATGTTCATAGACTTTATCTCGCTCCAACTTTATACCTTTCCAAGTTAGTTGGAGAAAACCCAAGCCTTGGATGTCAAGTTGTTCAAATCCTTCAGCATTGTGAACTTAGGGCAACAAGACATGAAAAATCAGACAAAGGAGAAGATAATGAGCCTGAAAGGTGAACTTGCTCTGTCGATAACCATCGTGTCCGTATGGCTAATAAAGTAATCCATAAACAAGAGAGGTAGAGTTTCGTGAGAAATTTGGGAAATGACAGCAAAGGAACTCAGATCTCGATATCCCACCAGCAATTTAAGAATTGCCACAGGATTACACGATAATCAATGAGAACTGGAAGGATTACTCCCCCACATAGTCATGAATCTCCTTTGTTTAAGTAGGATTAATCAGTTCATCGCCTACTTGACTGGTCATTATCCCAAATTAAACACAGAAGCCTTGACCTCCACCTATCATAGACTACTCTTAACCTTAACAAACATTAGGTTCTTAGAGAAGATAAGATCACCCAACACACACACCCCTTTCCATTTGCCTTGAATTTCATAATAGTTCGCTTTTGCCTCTTCAAAGATTTGACCTACTTGATGCCAGGAAATGCATTGAACCCTCCCAAAAACAAAAGTTTAAAGCTCCAAGTACCACCCAATCATTACAATAAAGAGATTTGCACTTTAATGGTGTTTGTTCTTTACATCCCTTATGATACGAAATATCCATTTGTTTTCTCACTTAGTAAAACCAACATGCCACATGACATCGTAAAAGGCACATGCTCTCAATCAAAAATAAAACAAGATTGAATCCCACACCCAATCTTAATGGATTTTATCTACCTCCAACTTTATACCTTTCCATGATAGGGAGAGAAAACTCAAGCCTTGGCATTGAATGGTTCAAATCCTTTAGCACCGTGAACTTGGCGCAACAAGACAAGAAAGGCTAGACAAAGGAGAAGATAATGTGCTTGAAAGGTGAACTTGCCCCTTCCATAACCACCGTGTCCATACAGGCAATAAAGCACTCATTAGACAAGGGAGGTAGAGTTTCTTGAGAAATTTGGGAAATGACAGCAAAGGAGTTCATAGATCTCGATATCCCATCAGCAATTTAAGAATTGCCCAAGGGTTACACAATAATCTATGAGAAATCGCAGGGATTACTCCTTACACAGTCATGTCAACTCCTTTATTTAAGTAGGATTAATCAGTTCATCGCCTACTTAAACGGTCATTACCCCAAATTAAACATAGAAGCCTTCACCTCCACCTGTCATAGAGTTCTCATAACCTTGACGGACATCAGATTATTGGAGAAGATAGATCACCTAACATGCATGCACTTTCCCATATGCCTTGAATTTCAGAATCAGTTACTGCTAGTTCACTTTCACCTCTTCAAAGATTTAATCCACTCAATGCCAAGAAATGCATTAACCCATCCCCAATGAAAAAGTTGAAGCTCCAAGTAATATCAAGTCCTTAGGGTAATTGCAATTCAATAATCATCTTCAACTAATGTACTTTCACTTTCAATGACTTAAGCCTCCCAATGCCATGAAATACATTAACCATTTGCAATACAAAACATCATGCGCGCATGTTACATAGATAAACAATCACATAAACCACATAGCTGAAAACAATATGGTGGTTATAGATATATATGTGTATTTGTGTGTGTGTGTGTGTGTGTGTGTATCTTCATATACGAGTAAGCATAACAGCCATCATACTTCTACCGAGAGCTCATTTAAGAAGAAATTTAGGACTGGATGAACTTGGCAGAGTTTTAAAGTCAAGCATCTAGATAAAACTAGCTAAGCATGCAATATCTAATTCTCCATGAGTAGATTATCATAACAAGACAATGTTGTTATATTATGTCATCTTATCCTCATGAAACAGAAATGCATAAACTAGAAAAAGAATTCGATGGTTATTAAACATATAAAACTCTTCTCGGTGATGAGATGAAGCATATGACGAACATATACAGTATTCAATTCCATCATTAAGACCATCCAGTTGGAGCCTTGTATAAGTAGCAAGAATCCTTACACACAGCCAAAATACAGTAGAGGGCTAGAGGCTTGATTGAAATCCAAAATAGAGGATCGAATATATACAGGCTAATGGCTTATAAAAAAAATTATGAAATCCACCCACACAAGAAGACAAACAGACACAGAGAGAGAGAGAGAGAGAGCGGCAACCACACCCCAAATCAGAAGAGACCAGAGATCATAAATGGGCAAATATGGATAAGCGTAAAAAATAGAAAAGAAAAACTCAATGGTTATCTCTCCTCGAATGGCTTTGTTATTAGCTTTTATTGAGTTCTTTTTCTTTCTGGCAGAATGATTCCAGCACCCCTTTTCTTTCTGGTACCTTCTTTTTTCTTTTTTCTTTTTTGAGCTGATTCTGGTACCTTTTCGTTTGATGGTTTTGGCTGCTAATTTTTGTTTGAAAAAAAAACTAATACATTAAATTCAGGAGTATTTTATGAATGATAAGGATCGAGTGTGAATCATAGTAATAGAACAACATATCTAAATCACATGGTGACTTACAGGAAGTTGCCGAAAGAAGAAAAGGACGAAGGGAAACAAATCAAGAGTTGATTCCGAACAAATAACACCATTTCTAACATTATCACAAAAAAAAAAAAATCTAACAACTGCCACAGAAAGGGTCTTTAAGTAGGTTCCTATGGCAATCAAATTCCAGAGAGAACTTGCATCAGAAGTCTGAATTCTGAAATGAACAGTCACGTTATCAACCAAAAAAGATAACAGAGAAGACTCACATCAGAGAAAGAGCTAGAGCGGAGGCGAGGGGAACGGTCGGCGCTCAAGAGTCCCGCGGATGCGCGCCAGGCACAGGGTTCAAATTAGTCATCGCATTTTCAATATTTTGACCGTTGTAACGATTCCACCGACTCCGAATCAAATGGGGGGTTTTTTTTTTTGGACCGCCCCAAAAAAAAGGGACTTTTTCTTAAAATTTAATGCCTTTCAAGTACGCCAATTGAATGTCAAATAATACAATTATTTCATTAGAAATATATATATTGGTGAACATGATGAAAAATTATTTTTTAACTCTGAAAAACAACTCTCGTATTTTATTATTAAAAAGTGTTTTTATCAAATTTTGTCGTTGAAAAGTTAGAAAAATTGAGTAATAATAACGTAAAAAGAGAATTTCATCTCACTCTCCACCTTTGTAATTACAGATGGAAAAGAGCTTTTATAGCTAATGCTTGTCATAAAACAGATAATGTCTTTCACTAATGAAAAAATTTCAATTAAATCCAGCCAAAATATTTAAATCTAAATTGGAACTTATACTTTTAACAAATTCTTAATTAGGATATAAGAGTTAATTTGGGAAACGAAAAATTGATTATTTGATCCCTCTAAAGCGGTTCATCATATCTTATTATTAATATTCAGACAAAAATATAAATAATTTTTCAGTGTTTGAAATTTTGTATATATAACTAAAACCTCCAAAATATTTTCATAAAACATTAGTCTTTAAAAAATATTTTTTCTTTTCATGTTGTAAACAAGATTTTAAAATATTTTAATTATAATAAATATTTAATATTAAGTTGTAACAATTTACGTTTTTGGTTGGATCCAATATTCCTTAAATAAATGAAACTAACGTAAATTATAAGAACTGAAAATAAAAAAAATTATTTAAAGATTACTTATATTTGTAATTTAACATGTCTTATTAAAATATTTTTAATAGTGTAAGTTATATATACAAATATTAAATATTGTAAAACTACCTTTTTTATTAAAAAAAATCATGAGATGATGAATCACTTGGGAGAAGTAAAATAATAATAAAAAATTTAATTAAAAAAGAACATTCTAGTTATTTTACAACATTCAAAATTTCCTAATTAGGCATCATTACTTAATTAGAAATTTGTTAAAAATATAGGCCTAAATTTGAATTTAGGTATTTTGATTGGATTTAATTGGGATTCTCTCTTCATTAATTTAGTTATTTGTGTGATAGAAAGTTTTAAGAAAAAATTCTTTTTAGAAGATATTAAAAATAAACTATTTAAATTAAAAAGTGATATAACGTCTACTATAATTATATATATACTCCTCCAATTCTTAATATAGGACTAAATTTTTGAGTTGGTTTTGATCCTAAATATAAGACCCATTTATCATAGTTATCAATTTTCTATAAATTACTTCTATGGATACACCCTTAACCATAATCAAGTAGAAGAAAGAGATTAGGTATTAAGAAAAATAATTATGATGTTTTAGTAAAAAAGTGTCACTTTTCTTATAATTAACTAACTTATCTAACTTCCTTAATCTAATCAAATTAATTAAATGGGTCTTATATTAAGAACCAGAAAAGTATTATTTTTCATCAAATAATTTAAATTTTATTTGATTTTTATTTACATATTTTAGAATGTTTTTGTTTTTGTTTTTAAGTGTTAACAAATTTTATTAATAATCAATTTAATAAATAATTAAAATCACATTAAAAAACAATCTCCTCTCTCTCGCTCTTTGTATCTGGTCATGACTCGCGACATCCCTGGAAGATGGGAGGACTCAACGAACGTGGCCAGTACGTACGTGAACGCATGAAGAATTTGACTCGCGACATGGATCCGTGGGTCGAGAAGCTGGAATTTCTCTTCTTCCAAGATAGAGCGGCAATTCCCAAAATCCTTCACGTCATCATCTTGTCAGAAATATTCTATTCTTCCACGGTGTCCCTCTTACTTCTGCCAAACGGCGGTCCCCACAATATAAATATCTACCAATTTTATCATCCCCTTTCCTCTCTTTACAAGCACCGAGAATCATGAAGAGGCAACGGGTTATGAGCGTGAAAGGTTGTGAAGGTGCAGAAATGGGGCCGTAGTGAAGAAGAAAGCCGAGACTGAAGTTGATCGCAATGTGCTTAAGAACGAAGAGGAGAAGACAAAAGGGAAGCGGCTTGAAGGAAATGTTATGGGTTGGGCAAGCTGGAATGACGACGGCTGGCATTGGATTTGGGGATTTCGTGGACGAGCAATTGTCATGGGGCTCTGCTCGGATTCCATTTTGAGAGGAAGCTTTCGGTGCCTTGTACAATGATGTTGTTTGGGAGCACGATATTTGGAATTTGAGGAATGAAATTCCAAGTCCATTCTAGAGTTGATAAGCTGGCCAGGCCACGCATCAGAAATGGCTTCTTGATTTGTTCTAATTGGTTCACTTACGAATGAAACATTGAACTCTCATGATTTTGAAATTTGATAAAATAATTTGATCCAAATAATAATCATCTTCAACTTCCTTCATTATTTTTATTATATGCTGTGTGAATTGAATTGAAAGGCTAAACTTGATCTGGATTTACATGTGCAATATTTGCGAGAAAAACAAAAAGATTGTTTTGGATCGGAAATTAAACCAATTAAGGAAGTGATTCAAAAGTTAGTAGATTAGAGTGGGGTCAATTTCTGACTGTTTATTGTTTAAACAAGACTGGATCATTGGTTAGTTTACTGAGATTTTTAGTTGAACTGACCAATCCAATCCATTTTTTTTCTTGAAAATTGTAGAATTCAAAATACCTAGGATAATCATTACGTAGACTTATTTGAAACTGAATTAGTGGTGGTTTTGAGGCATTGTGAGTTTGAATCTCAAAATAAAGTGACTTTATTAACTTTTAACGTCTCATTTTAAAGTAGTTTAAAATTCTTTATTAACTTATTTAACAGTGTTAAAAATTAGAAATTCTTGGTCTCTTCTGCAAAGTTAAAAGATTTTAATAAAATTTTAAAAAGTTAAAGCTCAAAATAGAAACAACTGAGTTCTAAATATTATTAAAAAGTAAGGCCATTCATGAAATGAAATAGGACCAGGACTAACTAGAACCAGGAAAACGGGTCGAACCGGTTTAGGCCCTGAAATTATGAGGGTCGGGTTTGAAATTTTTCTCCTCAAATAGAAAATAAGCCCTGGAGGGCCGAGAGTTTAAAAGGGCCTACCTTGGAAGGCCGAGGGTTGGCCTGTTTAGACCCTTTTATATTTCTTTTTTGTTTTTTTAAATTTTTTTATATCATTCTAATATTATTAATTTTTTACATTGTTAATAATATTTCAAATATTTAGTTATTATTATCATTTTAAAATTAAATTTTACAGAATGATTTGATTTATTTAGTTTTATACAATAATTTATCCAATTAAATTTTTAAAAAATGGATTAATTTGAACTTTAATAATGATTTGATTTATATTATACACGTTGATATTTTTAAACTATATATATTTGATAATAGAGTATTTTTATACTTATATAACTTGTGATTCTATAATTTGAATTAGAAATTCATGAGTTTTAACAACAATATTTCTCACATTAAAATAAAATAATAGCTAGATTGCAAAATTTAAAAGTAAAATTTCTATAAAGAAGAAAAACTTGATATTTTTGTTACGAAAGAAAAACATACTTATGAAGAAGAGTAATTGATTATGGTGATGATGAAATTTCAAAAGATTAATGATAGTGTTTATTTATTGCACAATTGCACAATATATAAAACTTTTGAATGTTGTTATTTTGTTAATGAATGTTTTAGATGTTCTTGGATGTTGATGGATATTTATATATGATGATATTTTATATTTGTAACTTAATTTTATTCATATTTATGTCTTTTATTAACAATTTCATTGGCTTATTTTTATTTTTTATAAAAAATATGAGAAATATAAATTAAAAAAAAAGAATTTTTTTTTAAACAGGCCAAAGCTTGTGGGCCGGCCTTAAGCCCTGTAGCTTAAGGGCCGGGCCTAACAAATTGGGGCATTTTTAAAATTTCAGCCCCTGGAGGACTAGCCCTTTTAAACCCGCCAGCCCTGAAGGGCTGACTCTGATTCACACCTCTAGGACTAACTTGTCCTAGTCCCGTCCTAATAAACAGGAAATCTATCTTGTGTCTCATCTTGTCTCAATGCTATGCTGGTTCCAGTCAGGACTGGACTAGATTGGGACTAGACCAGGTCATCTTGTTTGCTTTTTTTTTTTTTTGGGTAACACGCTTCTGTCTTATGGTTGGGCTATTGCAATGGATTTTCATCTTTTTTTCCCTTATTATTAATTCTTTGGACCTAGCCTTTTTGAAAGCATTTTTTTTAAAACTTTTTTGGGCTTAACCATCTTAAACAAACATCCAAATAAATAATAATTAGACATAATAATTCTAAAAGAAATTTTCACCATTCAATATAAGCAACTATGACAGCTCTAAATAAATAATAACCATTTAACTTCATATGTGCTAAAAGCTATAAATATACTCCTCTAGTCCTATTTATAGGACAGAGAGAAAGATATTTTTTGGTCCTATTTATAGAGCACTAAGAGAAATTTTTTGTATGGATGTACAATTTCACCCCTCATTTATTATTGTGTTGACTTTATTTACGTGAGGTATAATATTAAATAAGGATAAAGTTGAAAAGTTATTAAATTTTAAATGAGAGTTAATGAAGTTTAAGGTTTTCCTTAATTTGTATGAAACATACTAAAAATGTCTTATAAATAAGACTAGAGAAGTAAATATTTTGTATTACGCATGCCTTAAACATTTTGTGTTTCTAACATTTAATACTTATAATAAGATAAAAAAATTAAAAACATTACTACCAAGACGAGATGACTCGTACTGAAAAATTTCAAGACAAGTCTATCTTGTCTCAATATGATTGAGGGGGTGTTTGGATAACCCCATAATCACTTTTCAAAAGCATTTTTTATAAATCGAGACAAACTCCTTTACATATTTACTTCATATACTGTAAAAACATTTCTGAAACTATGGTTTTGTTCTTATCCAAACATTCCCAAAACTCGGTTTTTGGGACGGGTTTGTCCTTTCTCAATATAACCAGGTTAGGATTGGCCTATTTTAAAGATCGCTATTAAAAAACACTATTTGTGAATGACCAAAGCCATGCTTTTACGTTTTACCAAAACAACTTTTAACAAATTAGATAGATTTTCCCCCCGTTACTTCTATAGACAACACATTTTTGTCCATAATTGGGTGAGACATGAAAGTTCTGAACAATTTTATCCGTTTAGTTTTTTAAGCAAAAAAGGTCAACTTTGTTGCAGTCAAATTCGTTTCCGGGCGAAAAAAAAGAAAAAGTCAAATGGATAACCAGCTCCCCCGAGGAGCCACGTGTACTTCCGTAACGCCTCTGTTAAATTGTGATCTATTTTCCAATCTCAACCGTTCATCTTTTCCTTGTCCATTATTTCAACGGTCCAGATGAAAGATGCGTCTCCAATATCAGGCGCCAGGTGGAATCGTTAACGCGCTCAGCAATAACCCAACTTCTTCAAGCGACAAAAAATCCTTGCTGCCCAATCAGAGTCCTCCATCTGAATTTCAAACCTTAACCGTCTCGTAAGGCGAGAAACGTCGCTGTTTCGTCTCCCTCCACATATTACCCCATCCCAATTTCAAAAATTCTGCCCTCCTATCTCTCTCGCGGCTCCGAATCTTTTCTTCATATTCTGGTTATATCCTTCTCGATTTTGTATTCCTTCTTTATTCTCAATTCATTCTCGAAAAGTGCTGCTTGGACAGGTTTAAAGTCTAAATAACCGAAGGTTCTGCATAGATGATAGGATGCAACGATTGGTTGACAACGTCCTCGCGGTTACTAAAGAGTAAGGCAATGTTGTTTTCTATGTAGTTGTAAGTATTTATCATGGTAGTTGACTATCTAGGCGGTTGATTGATTTGATTGGAATGGGTTGTGTTGACGGGCCGATTAAATGCTAAGATTTTTTTTTTTTTTTTTAACGTAGGGTTCTTCACTGCGTAATGTTTCTTTTTAATGGTTTCTGTGTGGCTGTACGCGATCAGTATATGTTGCTGTAATTTTCTATTTGATTTGAATTTAATAATAATGTTAAGTTCTGGGTAATCGGTTGCTTAGCATCCTTTTGACTATTCAATGGGGATCGTTAGTTTGTCGAATGGAGCTCTACTTGCTTTCTTTAACCGGTTGTCGTTTTTTTTTCTTTTTTCTTTTTGGTTTTTTTTTTTGGGGGGGGGGTTATACCAGTATCGTTGTGGCTGAATGATAATCGTTAAAAAGATGAAATGATGCAATTGTTAAGCCGGGGCATGAGTAAGCGTGTTCTTGTTGTTTTAGAGTTATCTTGATTTGCTGCAGTATTGATATCGATGAAGTTTTTTCATTCAGATATTGAATTAGAATTGAGAGATAGATACTGACTTGCTATAGTTTAGTAGTAAGAACGTTGAAAGATACTCTGACGAGTGAAGTTGGCGATGGTCGCCCTTCTAGCGTCATATCCTTTACTGGGTGTTACCTTTGTAGTTCCAAAGGCAAACAATCCTCAGGGGATTACAAACAAGTGTCAAGATTTGGTTTTCCAACTGGAGTTTTTTGGGACTCTGGATTATTGAGTTTCACTTGGGTACGAAACGAAAATCTGAATTACGTGTCGTTTTATGATCAAGCATTCCTGCAATGACGATCCTGATTTTGGAATGACAAAAGCATAGCTGTGTATCAGCTGAGTCACTTTAGTTATCAATAATAGTAGCAATAAAATAATAAAGTATGATGGCTACGAGTGGCATTATCCCATGATAGCTGAAGAGAAAGCCATCTGGGCTGAGTGATCTATTATAGATAGTTTAGTTCCTCAGTAGTTAACTGCATCCAGGCATCTTCCTCTATTTAATTAATTTTGAAGATTGTAAAAACAGATTTTGTTATTTTATGGTTGGTGTTGCAAAGATTGATTTTATATCTTTGGGGTAATGATCTATCTAAAAATTTGCTTAGGCTGAAAGAATTTTGGAGTTCTATGTAATTGAGTTTGTTGGAAGTTGCACCAGTGTTGCATTAATGTTTAAACTCACATATTGAGTGTCTTTGTAATCTGTGTATGTGCCCGAGGATGATCATCTGAACTTGTTTTCATTTTTAACGCAGGTCAGTGAAAACATTTACCTATGAGTCCTTGAACAATATTGTGAGACTGATCAATGGAGTATCGGCACTTTTATTGGCATTATTACCAGGAAAGGCTACCATCCTTGAAGGTATTCATGGCTGGGAGCTCAGACCAACCTTCCGTGGACCCCGTTTTCCACGTTGGATGGAAAAGTGAGTTAGATTTATAATTACTTCGTGAGATTTTTCTATATGAAAGATTTGCATGATGTCATTATGCTGAGCCTGAGCCTGATATAGGTGTTACATTTATAATTACTTCATGAGATTTTTCTATATGAAAGATTTGCATGATGTCATCATGCTGAGCCTGAGCCTAATATAGGTGCATGACGTCATCATGCTAAGCCTGATATAGGTGTTACATTTATAATTACTTCGTGAGATTTTTCTATATGAAAGATTTGCATGATGTCATCATGCTGAGCTTGAGCCTGATATAGGTTTCACTATCAGCTTAAGCCTTAAGATAATGGGTAATATGCTATCTTGGGGAGTATTGTTAAAAGTCTCCAGTTCAGTTATGAGAAGTCGTTTTATCTTTTCTTAATGATAATTCCAGTATTACATTTTCCTATCACCGTTCATGTTCCGAGTTTCATGGGTTACATGCAGGTTGTAGGTTCAAAGGTCCACCTCTGCATGCACCTTGCCATGTGAAGCCTTAGAGATAGACAGAACGGAATAATGTGTTGGGTTGGATCTGATTAGGATTAACCTAGACAAAAAATGAATCTAGACACCATACAATACTATACACAATCTATTAATATTCTACTATATTAACGGTGCAAAATGGATCTGGGCTTCTGTATTCTTGTGCACCTTTCTATGGGCTTCTTTACTTTGGCAAGGTGTAGAGTTCTCCTTATGGCACAAAGTTGAAGAAGAAACAGGAAAGAAGAGAGAAGAGAAAAGGAAGGAGGATTAGCCTTTTAAGTTTTTGATATAATTATAATATCTAAGAACGAGAAAGAAATATAAAATGACTAGGGAATTGGTAATATCGAAAGAAGATTAGATGATTAGCACAGAACAAAGTCAAAGAAAACTAGAACATAAATAAAGGCTGAGGAATTAGTAAATTGGGAAATTAATTAGTATTAGTTGTTTTGAGTTATTTGTTTCTTACGCTAATGAAGTACTTTTCAATATTCCATAAATGTGAAAATCTCCCTGGTCTGCTTTCTAGGGAAAATTTTAAAATACTCTTAGAATTTTAGTTTTATATGATGCCCATTTGTGATGTACACAACATATTTCCTGTGGACCTCCATGCCTAATCTAGTGCCCTTTAACAACTGTTGTTGGACTGACATGAGGCAAAGGCGAGATTTGTCTTGCTTGACTCACTTGAACTTCTCGCGTGTGTATTCTTTTCATTGCACTTTCAAATGGATCTGGCACCTCCTATTTACAATAGGAGCTTACAAGTATTATTGCCCCCTTTCATATTATAAAGTTATACCATGATTGATTTGAGAATTTTAACAAGACCCTGTAATTTTTTTTTTTTTTTTTTTCTCCTTTTTATTTTCATAACTATTGTCAATTATCATTATTTGCTTGCTTGCTTGATTTTGTTAGTAAGTACTATATTTTCGTAATTGTTTTGTTCTTCTTTAATTATTCGAGAACTTGCAGATTAAGCAATTTGTTATGGTTTTTAATGCATGCCTACTGTACAAGTGATGCCTGTGATCTTGTAATCTGTTATTGACATCGTTTTCCTCTTGTGTTTCTAATTTTTTTTAGTGGCGTGTCCTCTTTCAACCAATTCATTCATGAACTTTCTGTGGATTCTGATACTTCAAACTTGGAGCACTCATCTGGAGAAGGAGATGGTGATCAGTACGAATATAGTGCATCTCCATCATACCAAAGCTCCAGAGTCAATCGTGCTAATTTTACGAAACACAATAAGCAGCGTATGACATGGATACAGTATTTCCTATTTTGGGTTTTCTTTCCTCTCAAGTTTTTGCGACGGCTTGTTCTGTTTTGGATCCGCTGTGTCATATTTTGGGTTTGCTTTCCTGTCAAGATTTTGCCGCAGATTCCATTCCGGCTTTTCCGGTTCTTTTTTTCTATGGTGTCAAAAGCCCTGTCTACCTCTGGAAACCGGCGCCCTGCACGTTCATATTCAAATAAGAGCATGCAAAGCCTCAAGGACTACATTATTCATCGTACTACTGATCGGAGACGCGGAGTCATAGAGGTTGTTCAGCCTTGCTATATATTAACTTGGATTTTTTTTTTAATTTTTTATTTTATTTTACCTTTTTTAAATTTGATTTCAAAACCATTTAATTGGGTTGCTTATTAAATATTTTGGCCATCCAGGATCTTCATTTAGCCATAGAAATATTTATAGAAGGTGTATTCGATGTTGTGCACAAGGCAGTGCATCTTCTTCTTTCCCCATCAGAATCTTTCAGGACATTGTTCGGGTTGTTTTCATCTCATGAAAGCCGTGCTAACGATGATCATGCTACCCTTGTGGATGCCTCTGTTTCTACGTCTACGCATGTGAAGAATGACCCAAAACCCACAGTGAGGAATACCAGTTTTTACCAGTCTCTGAATACAGATGCTCGGACATGTCAGGATGTCATAACGGAGCTTGGGTAAAGGCACTAATACACCACATCATTTACTTTTATTTTATTTCATTTTGAAAAAATTAGCATGTTTGCTTCATCTGTTTTTCCCTTTACGTATGACAGGTACCCATATGAAGCCATTCGTGTAATAACTTCTGATGGATATGTTCTTCTTTTGGAAAGAATACCCAGGTGAAATAGAGCCTTCTTGGGAAGTAACCTCCACAATTTAGGTTGTTAATCATTATGAAAATAGGATAAAAAATTTTATTTATAAAATATAAATATGAGATGAGAATTTTATAATAGAAATAGGAAAGTTTGAATTTTAAATTACCGTATTAAAGTTTTATATTTAAAATATTTTACGAGTTAATATTTATTTCATTTTATAGTTATGAATATTTTTTTTACTATCTCACTTCATTTGGGCAAGCGTCTTTTTAGCACCTCTCGTCCCCTAGGGCGTTTTAAAGTCTGGCGCTTTGAGTGTGACTATTGTCTTCGACTACCTTGAATTTAATTATCGATCCTCTTCGTTATAGAGATTATTTAACTTGCAAAGTTAATTTCGATGAATGACATTTGGCTATCTATGGTTGACCAGAACGGGATAGGAGATATCTTGCGTGCTACTGATTGACTCCTATTAAACCTCTGTAATGTTTTTTGTGTTAGGAATAGAGATCAATGTTGAGGTCATTAGGATTTTAGATTGAGGAGCCTTTGCCATAACTTATTGCAGTGTTTAACATCTAATGACCTGCAATCTGATGTCACAGACGAGATGCACGGCAAGCTGTTTATCTTCAGCATGGGATTTTGGATTCATCAATGGGGTGAGTCATCTTGTTGCGTCTTTATTTCCTAGTTTTGATTTGATTACCAGATTGGGTTTTTTACCTGTCCTTTAGTAATAATATTGGAATGCTTGATATTTATTACCTCATTGTTGATGCATCACGCATGAATAGAACTGGGATCAAACAGAATGACATGCATTCTAGTTATACATGCTTGTTATTAGAATTTCTCTCATATATGTATATGTTGCTTGTTGCTTATATGATATGCTTCTGTTACTTGGATCTTTATGAGATTGAGTTTTTTCTTTAATTCTGTGTCTGGCAACTTCTCAAGAGTTCTTTATTCATCTTTTTTTTTTTTTTGGGATGAAATTCGAGATTGTGAGATCATTAGTCGAGACCATGGGGCTTCTTTCTTCCATTTGATTTGTACAGTTGTTCAGTTGAAGCTCATACTATTGTGGAATGTGGAAACTGAATGATAAGGATAGTTTCTCTACTTAGAATCATTTGGATTTAAGTACAAGTAAGGGGTGAGAATCATTTGTGAATTGCCAAGTAGTTTGTTATTTCTGGAGTCACTGGCGGATCTAAAGATGGATGAGTGGGGGCCTAGAACTTAAATATGAAGGTGAGAATCATGGGGGGAAAGCATCTCCCTGGATCCACCAGCTTCCGAAGTAGGTGAGAATCCGGTGTTTGTCCTATTTGGAGCAATTTCTATTGATGTATTTTATAAGTTATGATCAGAGTGAAGACTGAAGAGGCGAGGTCTTCTGGTGGTGTGACATTTATGTGGTGGTTTCATGCATTTGATTGCAACATAATCATCATATCGTTGGAGGGAAATTATTTTACTTGTTATAGACCAGAGTTGTTTACACAAGTGTTTTTGATGTTAAGCCCTTTCTATTATAGTGATTTTCCTGCTAGACATGCTGAGGGATTGATCAGCTCAACTGTATTGACGTGGTTTTGCTGCTTTACTTTTGTCCCGGGGGGGGGGGTCACCATTGTATTGTTTACATATCTTACTGTGGTAAATTTCTTCTATTATTGGGAGTTAAAAATCAAATTATTTGGTCACCTCCTTAAGCGGCATGCCTCAGTTTTAAATTCAATTTCTTTCCCAAAAAAAAAAAAAAGATTACTTTATTCTCGGTGGTTGTGATACTTGTGGTATTCTGTATTCTGATCGGTTAAATTTTTTGGTCCAGTTGGGTATCTAATGGGGTCGTTGGCTCGCCCGCTTTTGCAGCATATGATCAAGGTCTGTCATATTTTTTATAATAATGTCTTCAGGATTATGAATGGGTATTGATAGTTGTTTTATTCTCAGGATATGATGTATTTCTGGGGAACTTTCGTGGTTTGGTATCTCGGGAACATGTTAACAAGAACATCTCCTCATATCAGTAAGTCAAAGCTCAAAAAGATTACTTGGTTGTTATTGTTTTGATGTTTAATGTAATCATTTGATTTAACATCTCATGCATATTTTTAAATCCATTTTTGGTCTGTGCTGTGACATGATGGTGATGGAGTGCAGATACTGGCGGTACTCCATCAATGAACATGGGACTAAGGATATTCCTGCGATGATAGAAAAAATTCATCAAGTAAAAACTGCTGAATTGAGTATTAGTCAACCTGATATTGTGGAAGAATCTAATGGTAATCAGCCTTACAAGCTTTGTGCAATCTGCCATAGTTTAGGAGGAGCTGCTAGTATAATGTATATTATTACACGTAGGATTAAAGAGAAGCCTCATAGACTTTCAAGACTGGTTTTGTTATCACCTGCCGGATTTCACGATGATTCCAACCTAGTTTTTTGTGTGTTGGAGCAACTATTGTTCCTGGTTGCTCCAATTTTGTCTCATGTTCTACCTGCTTTCTATATACCAACCAGATTTTTCCGCATGCTTCTAAACAAGTTAGCTCGAGATCTGCATAACCTTCCTGCAGTTGGAGGATTGGTTCAAACTTTGATGAGTTATGTTGTTGGTGGAGACAGCTCAAACTGGGTTGGGGTTTTAGGATTACCTCACTACAATATGAATGATATGCCAGGAGTATCTTTCCGTGTTGCTCTCCATCTTGCACAGATGAAGCACGCGGGAAGATTTAGAATGTTCGATCATGGGAACGCATCTGCTAATATGGAGGCGTATGGTTCGCCAGAACCTTTGGATTTGGGTGAATTCTATCAGCTTATTGATATTCCTGTTGATCTGGTTGCTGGACAGAAAGACAGAGTGATAAGACCTTCCATGGTTAAAAGGCACTATCTATTCATGCATGATTCTGGTGTGGATGTTTCATATAATGAGTTCGAATATGCTCATCTGGACTTTACCTTCTCCCACCATGAAGAACTCTTGTCATATGTTATGTCACGATTGCTGCGTGTGAAGTCCAATTCAAAGAAAGAGAAGAAGACAGAATAGTAGTTGCTGACTAATGAGTGGAACATGGAATATGCGAAAACCTGTACATTTTCATTTCTCGCAGAAGCGTCTTTGGCATGCCCACAACATTCAGTTGAAAAGCATTGTCTTGCGGATCTACTGGAGCTATGGACCTGCTGAAATCACAGAGCTGCCTTGTACATGTGTTCATTTTTTCCTTGTCCCTTTGGAAGCAAAGTAGGCCTTGAAGAAACTGCATTTTACATCGTAAATACTAAAAATCTGTGCATTGCCATGTAAGTGAAAAAAGGCACGAGAAACTAGATTGTAGCTGTATTTACATATTACTATATCCTGTCTTTAATATGAAAGCTACTTAATTAATTTGAGTATATTAAGAAAATTAGTTAAATTAGTTATTTAGAACAAAGATGAATTAATTTTTCTAAAGTATCTTTTTTAATCATGGTTACTTTTGGATGAAAATCTTTTGACATGTGTAATCAATAGGGATATTTTGGAGAATAAATTACAAATTTGGGTGATAAAATTTGGGAAAGTTGCAAATAAAAACTCCTAAATATGTAAAATTGCAATTTAAGACCCTGAATTTTGAAAATAACAAATAAGGACTTGATTCCACTTTTATAAATACGAAATATTGGTGAAATGTCTGAAATACCTCTCAGTCAAATGACAAGTTTACTTTAGTGAATGACAATTTCAATAGATCAAATCACAATTTGATTGAGGGGTATTTCAGACATTTTATCCACATTTCATATTTGCAAAAGTGAGACTGAGTGCTTATTTGCTATTTTTCAAATTCAGGGTCTCAAATCACAATTTTACATATTCGGAAGTTTTTATTTGTAATTTTCTCATAAAAGTTTATATTTAAGATTAAATTTAATTTTAACTAACTCTTATATTAAGAAGAGAGGTAGTAATTCACTTTGGTAGTGATGCCTTCTTTTGTGCGGGTGGTTTGATCGTCTTAGCCAATAATTTTAACCTGGTTTTTACAATTAGATGCCTGTTGATTATGGATCTTAATTACAGTTATATTGGCACCTATTTTTTATTTTCAAGGTACTGGTATCAAACATTTGTCGGCTCTTTGATCTTTTTGATATGTAACAGTAATAACTAAATTGTTGATCGTGTTCTTATATGCCAGACAAGCCTTGTAGGCTAGACCTAGTTATTCTACAAAGATGGATAAAAAATATATTTTTCTATAAAATATATTTATCAACGAAACTATATATTTCAAGGTTCTGGTTTCTTAATTTTTTTAATTCTTCGAAATAACGAAACTATATATAATAGATTTTAACATTCTAAATATCTAAGGATAAATTAAAAAAAAAAATCTAATTAGACAATGAACACGCATCTAATTAGATAGCGAAATTTAAGGTGCACCCATATGTTATTTTCATTTTTGCAATAATGAAACTACTTAGGTGTACGTAAAATTACTTGAAAGTAAATTAAACAAAAAAAATGAGGTGAACTTCTAGAGGGTTTTAGTACTGATCATATAATCCTCTCCATATGAATTGAATTCCTGACTATATTTAAAGAAATGCCAGACTGAGGTGAAGTGTTAAATACAGAAAACGAGGTTCCCTTGGGTTAATAGAAAACTTGAATCTTGAAAGCCCGGAAAAAAAAAAAAAAACCGCGTAAAACCAGTTCAAAGCTTTGACTCTGCCTGTTCAGGTCGATCAATTACAACACTACTGAAGCGAAGTGCACAAGCTGATGGGAATGGCTGGCTTGTTCAATTTCGCTGCCAGTCGCCCTTGTGGAGCCTGTTCTTCGTTTTCTTCCGTCCCCTATAGAACCTCTTATTTTCTTCCCATGAAAGTGGCGCCTCTAATCCCTTCGCGCGTCGTGGCATCCACACGAAGTTCTGTCGACGTCGCTTTTTCTTCCAGGTCAATCACTGGCAATTTCTCATGGGAAGATGTCCTTTCTACACCTCAGTCTGATTCTAGCGCAGAAGATTCCTCTTCTTATCTCCAAGGCTACTTCGAGAAAGTTAAATTATGCAATCGTGGTTCTGTAAGTTCTCAGGAATTCTCTATTCTGTTATTTTCCCCTGCCTTTTTAAATTGGGCCTTTAGTTCTGTATATTCTTATTAATGGCTTGATCCTTGTGGCCTTTCTATTCAAATTGTACATTTATTGGTTTCTCGGCGAATGGAACTCATGGTGTTTGTTATAAATATTGAGTCGGCTTGCAGGAAAAGCAATGTGAGTTCCTTCCTTTTGTCATTGAGGACCAAATTGTTGGATTCATTCACAATGGGTAAAATTTTTCTAACTCAATCTGTGTTAGATGCTCAGTTCTTCTCATGACTAGTTATTTCGTGGTTGTCGTTTGCTTTGGTTATGGTGTTTGGTCCTAGCTAAATCATGTCGCTGTGACGCTATTATTCACCGAAGTCAATAATGGTGGCGGATTTGTCATGTATGAATTTTTTTTAGATTTGCCGATCGATTGAGGACCTTCAAGGATGTGTTCATTTTCCCTAGAGATAAATTATACGGTTCCCCCTTTGATGACTATGTTTCATTACATCCAATACTGAAGAAGCCTGAGCAGAGGACCATTGCGGTTGGAAATGTCGTCAAGTGTTTGGGAGAAGAATGGGTTCCAGGTATACGGAATGAGGTACTGGTTATGATATGTAAAGGTGTCCATGTTTTGTCATCCTTATTTTATATTTTCTATGAAGCATACTTGTTCTTCTTATCCATCTTTTGTCAGTTATTCCCTGTAACATCATCATTTGGTGCGCCCACTTTCTTTTCTTTAGAACGTGCTGCAGCTCCTTATTTTGGAATAAAGGTTAGTGCAAAAGGCTCTGATACAGGATTACCTCATTTGGATCCTGAATTAGATTTTCTTTAATTATACTTATCGTCGGTTTCCATAGCCATATTTGTTCCTATTTTAATACCTTTTCCACTTTAATATTTTCCTTTTCTTTTCAAAGGTTAGGCTTATGGAGTCCATATGAGTGGCTATGTTGAGAAGAATGGGCAGAAACATCTGTGGATAGGCAAGAGAAGTCAAGTAAAACCCACTTATCCTGGGATGCTAGATCATCTAGTTGCTGGAGGACTGGTGTGTATTACTTGCTAAGTAGGTGAATCAAAAGTCAAATGAAAACAAGGAAAAAAACGAAAAGAAAGAAAACCTGAGAATAGCAAATGACTGTTAATATTCAAGGGTATTGGTGCTTTTTAAATAGTCCGTTTGTCTACTCATCCCATCAATTCTTTGTCAAGTGTTTCCTGAAGTCTCTTTTACTTCATGAATCTTTAGGGTTCTGATTAACTATTGATATGGAATCACAGCCGCATGGGATTGATTGTCAAGAGAATCTTGCAAAGGAATGTGAAGAGGAAGCAGGAATTCCCAGATCCATCTCTAACGGGTAAGTTTTATAACAGCCGTATTACCCTACCTCTGACCTGATTTTCTTTTGAAGTGAGTTTTCTTCATCCTTTTTGTTCTTCCTGTTCTGTTTAGGATATTGATCAGGTCTGTTCTTATCTTTTGTATGTCATAACGGCCATGATACCAAGAATTAAAGGGCAAAAAAAAGGCGTTCTCGTTGTCTAATGCTGTAGATTCCTTTTCTCACAGAGCCATACCAGTTGGAGCTGTTTCGTATGTGGACATAGATGGATGCAGATATAAGAGAGATGTTCTGTTCTGTTACGATTTGAAACTTCCTGAAAGTTTCGAACCAACAAATGAAGGTATTTAATTTATATAGCTGTGTTCCAATGATGCATTTCTGACCGTGTTTTTTTTTTTTTGGGGACCAACTTCTCTGACTGTGTTATTATACACAATAGGTGGCTTCATCTTCTCTAGTAAATATTCATTATAACTGACTTTATATCATATCAGACGGAGAAGTGGAGAGCTTTAAGCTGATTCCTATTACGCAAGTTGCAGAAGTCATACGCAAGACACAGTTTTTCAAGCCAAATTGCTCCCTCGTGATCATTGACTTCTTGTTTCGACATGGGTATTTCTTCCGCTTTACTTTCTCTACACAGTTTTTTTTTCATACCTATCATCAGATAAAAAAGGAAGATCAAAGGCACATCCCACAAAAATCTGAGTCCGGGCAGAATTAAGTCAGACCCAACTCTCTGTCTCGCTACCGCATTATTGCAGAGGATCCAAACTACAAAATCTTTAAAATGTATATGAAGTGGTGATTTTAAGTTATTTATTTAGAGTGGTATTAAGAAATATTTTGATTCGCCCATTATGAAATATTACCTCCAATTCTTAATACAAGAATTAGTTAAAAGTTAAATTTGATTCTAAATATAATACTTTAATTTATTTTGTCTCCCAAATTGATAATTTTTTCTTCAAAATATTTTTATTGATTATATAATATTCCCACTGAGAGGTAATTTCAACATATGATTAAAGAGGATAGTTTAAAAAAATCAACATGTATTTGTTATAATTAACTAGTTTAACTAATTTACTTAATATTCTTAAATTAGTTATTTACCTATTATATTAAGGACTAAGGGTTTGTTTCTGTGATTCCCCAATTAGATGTTATGGTCTGTTAAGTAGAGGCATTATGCTTTCCTTGCTTTCCCAATTAAAAAAGAGAAGAGAAGAAAAGAAAATCATAAGTTGCATTTGTACTTGTGTTGTTTTTCCACGGATGTATAAAACTAAGGTTTGTTTTTGTAGGTACATCCGTCCTGAACGTCTTGGATATCTTGATCTGCTACGAAGCCTAAGAATTGGAGATTGTTCATAACAATGAAGCAATTCTATTTATCCCACATGTTGTACTGCTTTGTCAAGCAATTCTGTGCTGTGTGTGTGTGTGTGTACACTACACTCTACTCTGCTCTAGTACTTATTTTGGTTCAGATTCTCAGAGGTTCGATGCTGACCCATCGTTGTGAGCGATTAAAATAGTTATGTGTGCATGCGCACATCCATTGAACATAAAGTCCATGCGTAGTAGACTAACAGTGGTTGGTTTAATGAAAGGAGATGGGACAACAAAGGCGTAATAGACTAACATAGCGTTTCTATCTAAATCCCCTCATTTTAAAGGGGAGGGATAGGAGGAGAGGGGACTCCCCTCTATTTTTCTTTAACCAAGTGAGAGGTGGGGAGTAAAATATTTCCTCACTCATTCCTTCCAAATCCACTTCAGAGGAACGGAGCTTAAAGGTAATATGAGTAATTTTTAATCATCAGTTTTTACACTCAAAATGGTACTCAGTTTTGGGTAGAAGAGAAGCAGTTAAGTAGAGGAGAAAAGCCCGATCGCTTATTTGCTGTATTTATCTAAGGGAAAATTGCAACAAAAAAAAAAACCGCCGGAATAAAAAAAATTGCAAATAAGAACTCATTAGTAATTTTGAGACCAAGTCCTTGTATGAAATTCTCTAATTTCGGCGGTTTTTTATTTTTTTATTTTTCCTTTATCTAAAATCTCGTGTTTGATGAGTAAAGTTTCCTTCTAAGCCACATTGAGCTCCCCAGTCTCTGGTCCTAGTGGTTCAAAGACGGATTCCACATCACGCTGATCAACTTCTTCCAAGCTTGACGGTTTCCACCTAGGGTTCTGCAGGAAAATAATCATTGAACACCACTGTAAACAGAGAACAATATATACCGAATATTTAAGGATAAATCATTTTCCGGGTTAAAGAGGAAATATGAAATATCAGAGTGATGAGGACTAATCGTACTAATCCTAATAAGGAACTAATTGTATAAGAAGCCAGGTGTAGTTATTAGGTAGCATAAGTACATCCTTCAACCTTGTACCATTACCAAGCTTCCGAACAAGCAAACTAGGCACGAAGCATAAATTTTGCTTTGCTGGCTCGTGTCTGTAGCACCAACAATTCTATTTCAAAATATACACTGCACCTATATTTTCCGTTTCGCGATATAATGACATTGTTTCTATATCAAATTTTAGAATACGAAGGTGTAAGAAAAGAGAACCTGATCCTTGTCCACCAGTAAAGCTCTGACACCTTCTGCAAAGTCATGTCGGAGGGAAGACCTTAAGGCAATGCGATATTCAGTTTTCATTACACCACACAGCTGAATTTGTCCAAGCGCAGGCGTAGCACACATTGTAAATTAATAAGTTTGAATGGAATCAACAAAAACTATCAAAATCTAATGGATTCAGAAAACTACAGACTTACCGTGGATAATTCGTTGTCATTTTTTCCCTGAGCAGAGGCAACTCTAGAGAAGTAGTTTTGTGTCAAGCAAAGTGAAAAAGGAGCCCCTTTTCCAAGATCTTCGAGGGCTTCATTAGCCCACTTCACAACTAAGGTAAAATGCAAATAAATATAACGAACAATTAATCAGGCAACCCACAACTCTGAACATCAGCAAGGAGGTCAATAAGCATACCGGTAGGATCAGTACTAGATTGGTGCTTTTTTAGCTCTTCAATTGTCTCTACAACCGATTTATTTACTCCAAAAGATGAAAGAATCTGAGGTAAAAGTGATTTCAACTGCGCCTCGTTCTCAGGAGTGGACTCATATTTTGCCAGAAGAACTTTGATGTCCTGATGCGGATCATGTGAACTGCATGATCACCGGATTTGGCAAGACAATTATCCTTAAAGATTGGTAATTTGCATTATGAATTTGACTAATCAATATTCCACAATGTAGCTGACTAATTTAAACATCGTTTGTATTACATGTATATAATCTAAGCAAAAGGTAGGGGGTAATAATTTTATAGGAAAGTCGTCCATTGAGACACAGATTTCTGATCATTTTCAAACAATAAGATATGGCTGTATATTTGCAGTTACTTTTCTAGCATACTAATCGTTACCAAATGATAGGCTGTGTGTGCATGCACCTTTGTGTGTGTCAGTGTGTATGTTTTGATCTTTCTAGCTTACAATGGTGTACCAAATCATAGGCCACATATGTGCTCTCTGTGTGTGACTCCTAGTCATTTTCAAACAACAAAGAATGGTTATATATATCAAGTGTATTCATGCGCGTGCCCAAGTGTGCATGTGTATGCATTCATGTGGATGTGACTGAGACGTACAAGGTTGTTGCCAAAAGGGCCTCCTTCAGTGGACCTAATTTTTCAGATGGTACATAATGGGTTCCCAGGCCAACATATATTGCGTCTGAAGGAGTAGAAATCCTTTTTCCCGTCAATCCAAGATAAGAACCTGAAATGCATAAAATTTTCATATTGACCCGTGTATTAGAAACCATTGGAAGAAGTGAAACAGCCAGTGAAGCATATTTGACAAGACTGATCAGAAGTAGAAATGAAACTCTAAGTAAAGACCATGCCCAGTATTTTGAGGACAAGTGATGAGGGGGGAGTAGTGTGCAAAAAGATAAACAGAAGATGATATTCTGACCACCCCTCTGATCCTTATAAGTTCATCTATTGAAAGAAAGAAAAAGAGGAATTCAGTATTCTAAAATACTACTACCTCCAGTCCTAAATATAAAATATTAGTACAAAGTGGATCTTGTATTTAGAACCGAGGGTAGTATAAAGTTAAAAACATACCAACAGATCCTCCTCCTGGACTTTGTGCTGCTATATATGAAAAGCCTACGTCTGGGAACAAACCAATTCCATTTTCTGGCATTGCAAGAACAGTCCTCTGAAAAATGTCACATTAGGGGGGAAACTCAAAAGCAAGATCTGCAATGTTAAAAGTTTAGGATATACTTACAATTAAACAAGCCACAATCATAAAGTGCAAACCTCAGTTACAACACGATAGCGGCCATGACCAGATAGTCCAATTCCAAAACCCATTGTTATTCCATCCATGAGACTTATATATGGCTTCTTGTACTGAGAAATTTTGCATATCAAAGAATACTCAGCAGAGAAAATCTGAAATGCAGCATAATAGGGCCATTATTTGTCATAATACATCAACAAATGATGCAAAAATACAAGAGGCTGGATAACAGATTTGACATCAGGCGACAGCACTGATAAGGAATAAAATGTAATTCAATCAATACAAATAAACTCGTCTAAAACCATCTCAATTGCACCTGCCATTCTTTCCATTCTTTCCCAATAAACCATATGACATAGCTAACAACCAATCTAGTTCAGATGTACAAACCAATACTCAGAAAAGATGCCAAATATGCGTATTTTACGCTTAATCTTTTAAACTTGATGCCCAAAACATCAACTGTCATACTTATGGTACGTTAAACAAAACAACTAAAGCTAACTTTCATGAGTAAAACGTGAGACTTTATTTGTTATGAAGAACATGACTGGTCCCCAACCAATAAATGATAGGTATTCGTATGGCAAGTCTTTAATAAATAATAAAGGCTATATGAATCTAAAGACATAACTACAAGAACACAGTTGGACCTCAATCATATCTGATAGCTGGTTTTTTATTGTTATCTGCTTCACATCACCACCTGCAGATAAACTAAGATCGCAGTTATTAACTAGCAATAGATAATTATGTGAAAGAACTCATGGCAATGAACTAATCTAGCATCAGAAGAAGTTGTTTATTCTTGACAGAAACGCACAACCAAGAAACAAAATAATTCAAATATGTGCAGAATGGAGGAGAAACAAGTATTAAAAGAAAACTTCTTGACTAAAGGCGTTCTTTTGTCATTTTGAATATCAACAACAACCCTTTTAATATCCACTCCTGCATTCACCATCAATGTTAGCCCTCAAATATTACCCAACACTTGAAACCAAATAATCCTAAGTCTAAAGGAGATTCCCTCCAAAAAGAGCTGTGTATGAAATGTCTATGCTAGAAACATGTTGATATTGAAAAATGGCCAAGAAAGAGAAGGGAATTATGTGATTCTTGATAACCGAATCATACCTGCAGAAAAGGCACGAGATGAGCTACTATCAATTAAAACACATTTGACATTTGGATCCGATTCCCACGCGTCCAGATAACTTTTATACCTTATGTCCATATCTGCGCCACATATTTCCAAGAGGAACAGCTTACTCACTAAGAAAAAGTCAACTTTTTTTTTTTGGTGAAAAGAAAAAGTCAACTTTAGTAGAACGAGAAAGAAAGAATTCGTAGACCATTGTTTTACCCTGCAACTAAACAGTCAACGAATCTGCATTCAAAATCCCCAATCATCACAACCCCAATTTCCGGGTGCTTACATAACTAATCTAGGTCTTGCGAGCTCCCCATGACTCTGTATTGTAATGGAACTAAAACTACCAGAAGCACACCTCGAATACATTTCGTTACTAAACACATCAAGCAAAAAACTCAAGAAACTAGTATAAAAAGCTTCTGCATAACGAAAGCACAGAATGATAAATGCGAATAAATGCGAAAGAAAACCTAGGTTCATGGCGTTGAGAGCTTTGGGGCGATTAAGGGTGATGACGGCGACCCCGTTGGGATGAACATTGCCCTTCACGAACTCCTCAACAGTGGCCATCGTCGCAGTGGCTCGGGCAGACAGCAAAAGTTTGTTAGATTTGTAGAAAGAGAAGCTGAGTGAACTCGGAAAACGAGGAACTCCCCCTCCACCTACTAGCAATAAGCTTCGCATGCTTTTTCTGTTGACCGTGTGGGCGGGGTGATAACTGAAAGGGAGCTCGATGTTTTCAATTTTCTAACCGTTTTGCCTCCATCGTTTTCATCTTCGTACAATTTTGTGTAATCTTCAGGTTGATGCTGGTAATAATATAACGCTAGTACTAAAATGCAAATTATATAGATGGACTTTACTACAAATATTCATTTTATCTACAGATTAATATAAAAAAATCATTTTCTACGTGATTTAGTAATTTGTTGTCATATTTTATTAACAAGAATAAATTATGTTATCTGAGATTTAACTAAATTATAGCGAAAGTTCCTATTGTTTCAACAATTTAAGTTGACTTCCTCAATATTTGAAGATATAAATAAAAAAAATTCATTCAATTTACTTTTTATTGAGAATGTTTACATAATATAAAATTGTGATTTTATTTCTGTTACAGTACAAAATGTAGTTAGGATTGTAATTTATTTGTAATATTATTTAAATTTTGATTTTAATTTTATTAAATGCACGTCGTATGGCACTGTGACAAAATCAACTTTATTGACAGTAATAAGAAATTTCAAACATATATCGGCATAAAAGAAATAGTGTAGTTTGCTGAAACAAATGCCCTTTTATGGGAACAATAATTGTCAATTTCAGAAAAATAAAATATGTATGTACTGATAAAATTTGCCTTATCCAACAACAAAAAATAAAATTGAAACTATCACAATTCATACCAGGCAACAAGTGATGCTTACTGATTAGGAAAGCTATTGGAGGAACTCAATTATCTTTTCCTCTTAGAAGCCTGCTCAAATTAACATCTTGATCATCCACGGAAAAGGATCATGGAGGAAACTTACTTTTTGTGAATATTATCACGCAATAATTGATTTTATATAATCAAAGGGGCAAACATTTAACTACTGTCACTCATATATTAAAAAATAATATTTTCCAATTAAATTAGGACATGAATTTTTCTTTTGATGATAAATCTGTAACCAGCCATAGTTATTAATACTTTTAACTTTTTTAATTTAAAATTCACTTTTTCTAATTTAATTGGAGAAAAGTACACAATATAAGTTTAACTACCAAATAACCAACTTTTCTCAAAATTTAAAAGGAAACCAATTGACGTACTAGTAAAATTAAGACATCATTACTGTTTATAAAACATAAATAAGCGGCCCATCACCCATGTCAGGTTCTATGAAAATCCCCCTCCAGTGGCCATTTGAAGCTTCTATGATTTTTTTTTCCCCCCCGAGAGATGAACCATTACATATATGAGCTAACTAATGGTAATCATGTGTATTCTAGCCCTCAAGTTGTACATGGTATTGAAAGATACATGGAAGAGAAGCGTGTATGCTCTACTCGGGGGAACAAACAGTAAAGCACAAAAAATTGAAGAGCACGAATATTATTCTAAGCAACGTAGAAATCATAGAATAATCCTATCAAATCAAACCCTACTGATGGCAATAAATATATCGAGAAGGAGGGAGACTAAGTTGAAGGCTTCTTGGAGCTATCACACAGGAAAGATTCCAGCTCGTGATTTCAATAGCCAAAACATCACAACTGACCCATCAGCTGAGGAACGTCAACTAGCCGTTCTATTGTCTGCAGTTGATCATACGGAGCAATCTGCATGTACAGCAGAAGTAATAAATGATGTTTAGAAGGCAGGGCACAGTTATATAAATCTAAGCAACTAAATCAATGACAAAATGAGGAAACCAATAGGTGAAACTATAGCTCATATTCATAAAGATGCTGAATATAAAATCTGGAAGATAGCTTGGCATTTTAGGTACCCATCTATTGCTCTTTAGGTACGCTTCTAGAAAGCATGGACCCCTGGCACAACAATATATGAAGTATTTGTATGTAATTTAAACCGTCGGATATTGTTGGGCGTTTTATCAAATACATTTGACAAATAAGGTCACTACTATTTTCATGTCTCAGTGATTTGCAGGTGTTTTTCATTGCTTGCATGAAGCGGGACAATAAGGCACAGATATGTGTGTGTCAGTGTGTAAGTGAAAAGTTGTCCACCAAAAAAAGTCATAGAGAACGACCTTGTTCAAAAAGACATATTCAATGTATATATGGGGAGATATTTGCATCTAGCTTAATTGTCAAGATGATACGGAAACAGTACAAGTTGCTTGACAGCTAATTTATTTCTAGGACTTCAGTTTCCTATAGTGAAAATAATAGCATCTAACATGCCGTATCATTCACCTGGTTAAATCCATCAGGCCAAGTTATTGAAACAGCATAATTTCCCATGGGCCGGATTTCTTCTGGTTCAATATCTTCAGGAACATCAGCATACTGCAATTTCTGCTCCCCTGTCCATTCATCCTGTTCAATTAAGATTACCCGCTGATGAGATAGAGGCCATAACATGTGGTTCATCCAGAAAACACAAAACCATAGGATGTGAAAGATCGTGAAGAATGCACGGATTTGTGCCAAACACGGATGACCAGTCAAGGTACAGCTTATTTTAAGTCTTTCTATCTTTCTGATGAAGCAGACATGAAAAGGTACAAATTACTTCATCCCTAAAACTGTTTTATAACAGGTGACATTTAATTCCACCGTTACTCGAAAAGGATTACTCCAATTATCACCTATACTAAGATGCATGCCTTTGGAGGGATACCATAAAGCTTGCGTTGCTGTTGGTGGTAACAAGTAAAAGTGCAGCAACCAAAATGCTATGTACAGCTTAAATTAAATGACATTTTATTTTGGATTTAAAAAAAAAAAAATTGTAACTTTGCTTTTAAATATCAGCTTACCACACTCTGAGCAGAGCGATCATTCCGTCTGACTGTTGCTGGATGTAAAAAAAATTCTTCATCTGAATCTGGTACCTTCACTTTAATTGCCTTAATTGATTTATCATAGGAGACAGCAGTTGAAACTGAATTGAAAGCAAAATGTTTTTCAATAAAAGAAAAGTTAAATCGAATAAGTTAAAGAAACTACAATTTCGCACCCATATGACACAATAAGGAATTACATGTTTAGGATGTTCTTACGGTAGTCATAATTCATGATAAGCCCGGAGTACTTCTCAGCAAACTAGAAATTCATGGACTTAAGAAAAGGTTTAAAAAATCTAATTTACGCAGTCAGGTTTTCAGAATTTTCATGTAAAGAAATAAAAAGCGAAACAGTTTTGCAGTTAATCACCAAACAAGATATCACAGTTACGTGCATACAGGAAGAACTAGCTGGTACTGATTTACTGGAATCTTCCAAAACATTAAAAACCACACACAGCATTACCTTGTTGGCGAATCTTGGCACACTGTTGCACAACACAGACTCCTAGATTCTGGAAAGTTTTAGCAACCTCACCAAGAGGATCAGCAGCCACTTCAGGCATCCCACTATCTCCAGAAGTAGATAGCTGTGATAATTAGGTCTGTAAATACTCGAAATACACTTAACTCCTGTCTCATTTTCGTTTTGCATTTTGCATTATGTAATGACCTTAAAGAATGGCGTAAACAGTTTGTAAAATTGACTATGCAATTGAATTTTAATGTAAAACAATGCAACTTTAAGAATTCAAGAGTCTTCAACCACAATTGCATATGCTTTTTGCAGTGTACCAGTTTCAGACAACTGTCAAAAATCCAGCCCTGATTCTACCAAAAATATACTACTCAACAAGTATAATACGATTATTTTCGTTACACACACACCCCCCCCCCCCAAAAAAAAAAAAAAAACAGGTATTAATTGGACTGAGGTAACATGATGGGTTAATTAACACAAATAAAAAGTTTGACCGGAGCACAGTAATTTGAAAACCAAAATCCGGGCATAAGACATACAGTTGGCCTAATGGGAAGATCAAATAGATGAGGTATTCCAAACTGCTGGACGACCTGCAAGCATGATCAAACCAGTGAAAAGTGTCACAATTAATACACTAAAATTTGTCTTGCATTAACTAGCAAAAATAGGTATGTTTTTCCCCATTAAGTTTAATGAAGAGAACAAAAGAATTACAGAATATTCATGCCTGAGAACCTGAACCTCTACCGAATGGGTAATATCGTTTTCCATCAGCATCAAAATGAGACATGTTCTCAACAACAGCAACGCACGGCACCTTATGCATAAACAAACAAGAAATATATGTCAATATCAACAGTGGACAGCGTATCAAATATAAATTATTCTAATGATATGATTAGAAAGTACATTGATATGCCCTTTTTTTGGAAAAATGGCAAAAAGAGGAAGGATTAAAAAAAAAAATACAACAGTTAGAAGCCTATGAGCTAAAAAAAAAAACGATAATATACTAGAATGTTAAGGTCGTTCTATTGCACAATAGCCACCTTAAGTTTTGAAAACATGCGAACTCCTTTTGCAACATCAATGAATGCTAGCTTTTGAGGAGTAGTGACAATTACAGCAGCAGTTAATGGAACTACCTGAAGAAATAAAGGACCCATGTCAAATTTTTGAGAATAAAGTATTAGAGAACAACTTTGGGTATATAGGATTCATGGGCAGCCAGAATGTATTTCACAACAATAAAATAAATGAACAATGAGTAAGAAAAATGAGTATGATTCTAGTCCATAAAACCAGGGAAGAAGGGCAAAAGCAGGACCTGGCATAAGGTCAGTTGAATATCTCCAGTTCCAGGGGGCATGTCAATAACAAGGTAATCTAGCTCGCCCCTGCATTGAACAAGTCAAGATTACATATCAAGCAGAACCAATTAAATTCTGAACTAATTTCAGAAGTGGATCAGAATTAAAGGTTATATATCAAGCAGAGACCATTTAATCTTCAATCCAAATTCGGGAGTGGGTCAAAAAGTCAGCTTGAAATTTATAGACATGTCTTTTATAAGTCAACACAAAATTTTATACAATGGCAAGGACCATTTAACTCTAATAGCACACTATTTTTGGCCTTTTCAATCCTAAATAAATTATATTCTCAGAGCAGCATACCACTCAGTAGTAGTCAAAAGTTGGTTAATAACTCCAGAAACCATTGGACCTCGCATTATT